TCTGGCTACTACTATATGCAAATAGGGAAAATGTGAATTAAAGTTTCTTTATTTATCCCAGTATTACTCTACGTAATTAGTTATGCTTATATATTATGGGATTATAAGTCAAGACATCTGAAGAAAATGAATATCATTTTTGCTCCTTAGCTGCAGGGAAAAGAAACATGTGCAGATGTTGAGGTAGTCATATCCAGTGAACCCAGGTAATAAGTGAAGATGAATATTACATGTGTATATTACTTTTTCCACTGTCGTTAGATTATGTTCAGAATATTTCTGATATTTTTTTGGAATGCTAGGACCATCACATATAAAAAAGAACTTTAAATCACCAAAATGTTGATTTCTTTTATTGAAGATCTCGAGGGTGAGACAATTTTCAGCAGATTCAGAGGAATAGCTTAAGTACCATACAGGGGATGACACAAATGGTAATGAACACATCATGGATCTTGCATTAATTTTCTTATTCTAGCAGTATAATTTGTGCAGGGAAGACATTCATTTGTCATGCCATGGAAGTATTGTTTGAAGTTTCCTTGCTGTCAAGACTTTTTTTTCAACATCTATGAGGTGGCAAGCAAAGTTATGGTAACTGCAGCTCATATCAGGTATAATGTGAAATGTAGGTCCATCATCTCATCATCCTTTATGCCCTTTCTTTCCCTAATATTTTACAGCAAACCAACGGATCAGCTAACCACAAGCTTAGTATGTGGTATACTGCATAAATATCTAGCTTGGTAGAAAGCATGGCCAGTAGAGCGTTTTCTAACCATGCACTAGCAGTGCCCACTCCATGCTACTGTTATGTACACAGACGAGAAGTTTGTTTGAGAAAGAGTATGCTTGCTGCCTTTCATCTAATATCATATGTTTCTGTTTCCTATGTGAAACTGATGGTTCACGTCTCTAACTTCAACTGCTTTATAGTTTTGCACAATAAGTTTTCACTTTCTCGACTGGGTGCAGGGTGACCGACGAGGACTACTGCGGCCCGATGGGAGTCGTGCTCTTCAACTACTCGGAGGCAGACTTCACCGTGAAGCCTCGCGACCGCGTCATACAGATTATTGTCCAGGTGATTGCGACGCAGGAGGTGTCCCAGGGTGGAGGACCTCGACGCCACCGTCCGAAGGTCACCGAGGTGGAGGACGACGCCACCGTCTGGAGTTCCTCAAGGTGGAGGACCTTGACTCTTTGTCCATACATCTAGAGAAGTGGTCTAGTTAGGTTGGTGGTGAAACGCTAGGGAAGGTACCAACCTTTTGATGATGGTTGTGTGCGTCCTCGTGATCTCTTCGTGTTGAGATGTTCAATGTTGCATCCATGAACACTGCAAGTGTTAAGATGGTTTTGTGAAATTTATTTTGCATTGGATGTGTCTCTGATCTCCATTCATGAATACTGCATCTATTTTTATTTTTTTCAATTCCTAATTTGTTGCTAGTAGCGTTGGGACAAAAGTGCTCTACTAGTATTTCGGATACTAGTAGCGCTGGTATTAGCGCGGGTTTCACCCATGCTACTACTAATTATTAGCTGTAGCGCCTTATTAGTAGCGCGGGTACCCGCGCTACTGATACACCTAAAACCCGCGCTGTTGCTAGCCTTTTCCCTAGCAGTGTTTGCTGAAAAAACCGGTCATGGCTCGCTAGTTTCTTTGCAATGTGCCTGAACAACTCGGTGCTCATCCTAAACCGGCGATGAAAGTACGACTCCGGGTATGTGGGATTCTCCATGAAATAGTGCCTCGTCAATCTGTTATGGGCATCAATCATATCCCTCCAAATTTTCTGCCGACCCATAACCGAACCATCGTGCTTTGGTTTTTTATTGATGTGCATAGCTAGGATCATTGCAAGATCCTCCTCTTCCATATCAAATTCTTCTTCGGAAGAATCATACGACGAACTCATCTACAATGTTCAATACTATGCTATAAAAACTACAATCAATATGCACCAAATTCATGAAGTTTGAGCAATACATACCTTGCAGGCGTTTTGTCGAACACCTTGCGGGCGCCGAGCGACAGCGAGCGCCCGGGAGCTGTTCGTCGGAGGACGGACGCGCGCGAGGGGCTGCGGTGACTAGAGGGGGGGCGGAGGAAGCCGCCGCGGCGCGGGGATAGGCCGGGGAAGCGCCGGAACGGTC